TATTTGAGAGAGAGAGAACTAGAGAGAGAGAGCACAAGCAGAGGGGAGGGGTAGAGGGAGAGGAAGAAACAGACTCCCCACTGAGCAGGAAGCCCGAAGAGGAACTCTATCCCAAGACTCTGGGATCATGACCTGAGCCAGCCAAAGTCAGATGCTTAACTGACTGAGCCACCCAGGCACCCCATAGCTTTCTTTATGAAAAAGAAAATAGACTTTATCCACATTTATACAGAAATAAATTTAGTTGGATTAAAGACATGAAAAATGAGTCTAAAGCTATTTAAACAGAAGAGCAGGGATATATTTCTTAAACCATAAATAAAAAACAGACACAAGGAAGGAAAGATTCATAAAGTTGACATTAAATTTAAAATGTCTTTAGAAAATCCAAAACCCCATTATAAACGAAGGGTCAGTGCCCATGATGTATAAAGAACATCTACATATAGGTCATTGATAATGGATAATTGCAGAAGAGGAGACCCAAATGAAAAAATTCTCAACAGTAATAAGGGAAATACAAATTAAATTGTATTCTATTTTCAGACTAGCAAGAACTTGACAATAATAAATTTTAGCCTGCTGAAGAAATAGATGTCTCAAACCATCTTGGAAGGGCACGTTGATATAATCACCTTACAGAGTAATTTGGCAATATCTAATGAAGTTGACAGTGCACTTGTCCTAAGACCCAACAATTCCACTGCTAGACATATACCCTTTCTATACATACCCAAAAGTATATGTATCTTGCATATGCACACAAGGAGACCTGTATCTGTTAACTAAAGTATTGTTATAATAACCCAATTGTCAACTAGTGGGCAAAGAGATCAACAAACCATTCGTAAATGGAATATTCACAGCAGTTAAAATGAATTAAATAGATTTATAGTATTAACATGAATAGATATTGAAAACATAATCTTGAGTCTAAAAAAATGAGTCACAAGATGTTACATGCAGTGATATAATTTATATACATTTAAAAAGCAACAATATGTCACTGTAGAGTATTTATAAACACATATATACTTGTAATATAAAAAGCATGGCTTGTATACACATCAAATTCATGATAAGGTTGCCTCTGAAAAAAGAATAAAATGAGACTGACAAGGAGAATAGATGGGGTTCCAACTTTAACATTACTACATGATTTCTTTAAAGTAAAGGATCTGAGGTAAGTGTGGGGAAAGGTTAACATGTGTTAGCTTTCAGTGTTAAGCATATCTCTTAAATTTTCCTGTATTAAAAAATATGTTAGATACACACAGTTCTTGACCTCTAGAATCAAACATTTCTGTGGTAAGACAAAAAAGGACTGGACTAAAATTCAGAAAATCTGAGTTATAGCAGAGGGGATGCCACTCTTCCACGTATAACTGTGGGCAATTCTCTCAACCAAGAGAACTTCAGTTATCTGATCTGCTCAATGGGGTCACTGCAAACCTTAAGGGAGTGGGTATGTTTGAGGACACAGAAAGCTATGGCATAAATCATATTCAACAGAAGAGTTGAGCTAGGAGCTAAAACCTAAGTACTATATTGTAAATGTATGCCTTAGTAAACAAAGCTACTATTTTGCAGAATCTCTAAGAAACAAAAAATATATATATAAAGAGGTATAATAACTGCATTTGGTCTCGGATTCATGCCCATTTCTTTTCCTTTTTCCATATACCTTTTTTCTTACTTGTTTCCTTCCATAGATGCAGTGGTTCATTCCCATAGCAGAGCTAATGTACCCACTGAAAACTGAGAAACAGCTCATTCTATCTTCTCTTCACACACACATCATGGGGTGTGATATTTTAAGATGGTCCTAGGGTCCAGAGGACTACCATACTCTTGCCTCATTTCTGCCATCACCCAGTGAGAAGGCAGGAGCTCTGTGGGTAAAGCAGAGCCTACACACTCTTGCCAAAACGGCCTTTCTCTGCTCTGCTCTCACATTCTGATATTTTTAACCCTCCAAAGCAGAGGTGACTTACTCTACTGTTTTGAGTCCTTCATCTTAAATCCAAATAAATCAGCCACAGAGAACCTTTAGGGGAGGCTGGTATTTCAGGCATTCCAAAGCAAAGGAGAACTTACTGTTCCAGGTCACACAACCCTCTGCTTTTACTAATCAATTTTTTTTTTTCTTAACACTCAGAACAAGTTAAGCTTTACTGAAACAGAAAAAAAAATATAATCTTCACTGTTTCTTCACTCCATATTATACTAAGAAGTTTCAGGGTTTTTAATCATTTTTTTTAATACAGATTTATTTCTGAGAAATTAAAAAACACTCCAAGTGTAATTTATTTTCCCAACAGCATGGTGAAGGTGGGCTTCCAGCTTCCTATCTCCTGCCCCTGCAGCTGATGGCAAACACATGTCTACTGCCAAGCAAGGGAGAATCTAATCACAATGGTTGCTGTGATGTGCAGGCCATGCACAAGGCTGAACGTGGCAAGCGGCTGACAGTGGGAGCCGCATCGGGGGGAGGGCTGACATTTTCCAACAGCCAAAAGAGGAGAGAGGATGAGCCTGCCTATCAGGGCATCCAGCAGGAAGAGAGAAGTTCCAGAAGACCTGAATCCTTAGTAATCATAGAAGGAGTGAAGAGTGTGCCCTTGCCCTGCTTATCTCTGAGTGAGAAATGAAATGCAATAAATATTTGACCATCGCTAACCTGGGTACTGAGCTCTCAGCTTACTTAGGGAAAAAAACTAGTAACTGAAACTTTTCCCTAATGCCTGGTAATTTCTGTGAGAATGAATTTGCAGGTTCAGCACTGTACATCAGTTTCGAAATTTAGTAAATGGTATTTCTATTTCTTCCCACTGTAGTTAATTTCCCAGTTAGTGTCATTCAATTCCTATAATATTAACATGTTAGTATTTATTTATTAGGATATCCATAAAAAATCCAGCTGAAATATGAAAGGAGTTAACTTTTCAGCCATGAGAATTACAGTTGAAACTACTTTTATGCTGGAAGGACAATCGGCTCAACCAACACCAGTTTTCCAAGAGAGGGTATGTGGGAAAAACAGTCTACAACAGATCGCTTGTATCACACGCTTGGCTGCTTGAAACTGGAGCTTGCTCATTTAAGAGGATACTAAAGAATCAAAAGATGGAATCATGCAACCTTTGTGGAAAAGAAAAAATCCCATTTTAACAACCAGCTGGGTCATTCAATATGTAAACTGTATTAGTAAAAACCAATAGATTCTCAGTATGATTTTTTGGTTTTTTGCATGCATCAAAAAGGGAAATCTGGAGCTACCTGAGAATGAACCAGGTGGCGAGTGCTACCCCAGTACCCAAGCGTTCTGGTGGTTTCCGCCCATCTCCTCCTCTGTAATCCGCTCGGACCCTCCTGGGCCACCTCGACCACTCGGATGCCTCTCTGCCTCCTCCACTGGGAGCTCAGCACACACAAAGCTGGACCACAAGCAACCCTTCCTAGGCAGTACCCCTTGCTTTCCACCAAACCATCAATGGACTCATTGGATAAAGACTAGCCGAGGCGTCTTTTCTGTAGGATTTTTCTTTAAATATTATTAGACATTATTCTCCACACAAGATCCACAAGGCGCTGCGACAAGGGTGCAGTTGTGTCCAAACCTCATGCTACAAAGAGCAGTGACTGTGCAGGAAATGGCTACCTTTATAAGAACTAATGACAAATGATAATAAAAAGGAACAACAGTAAATGAATGCTTATCAGGACCAATGACTCTGAGGAGCCGCCACAAGTCAGCAGAAAACTATGATCCTGTTCCTTCTAATGGGTGACTTTTAAAAAATTAATAATTGATTTTTCAGAAATATCTGACAAATACTAAAACCAAATGTTAGCGTTCATTCCAATATCAATAACTTGGGGATAGGAGAAGGGCTATGCTGGTAAAATTTTATATTTAAATTTATAAACCTTTTTCTAAAATCAAAAATATTTTCAATTGCTGGATAAGAAATTTCTAAATTCTGTAAAAATTGGTATTATCTGCTAAAAATTAGCTTATAGAAGACCAGCAGATATAAATATCATTATAAAATACATAGACATAAGACAGACTCATTCTAGAACTATGACATATCTATTTTGTATCAATCCTTGTTTTGCGGTTTTCTTTAATTTCGACTTTTGGCAAATACTATCTTGCTGTATTTCACACATCCTTATAAACTATGTTAAAATATTGCTAAAAGGAAGAGAGGATAAAACTAGAATAAGTATACTAACAGATTTGTGGCCAAAAGGGTTCAAATTAAATATAAAGAGGCATTTTCAGTTACAGAAACATTTAAAAGGTGCCAATTATTTTCATGTTCTTGTATGTGAGCTGGGAACATGCTGGGCATGAACTTTGCTCTCCTGGTCCCTGAGAGATCACTGTGCACCCTGAGGATAGGCCACCCAGGTGCCAGTCACCAGGGTCCATTCTGAGGGAGAGAACACAGGGCTCATAGCCATTTAGAAGGTAACCTTGTCAGGCAGTTTCTCTCTGAAGTTTGAGATGCGACGAGCAATTTATATTCTTTCTTCGGTCATTGAAGGCTGTTCATTTTTCATATGTGATTTACTAATTATGGAATGTTTGGCTTTCTAGAATCAAAGACTATTATAAAATGTCATTTTAAAAAATCTTTAACTTTTGCACTATGTTTATAAGTAAAACATTCTGCTAACTTTAAAAAAAAAAAAGGTGTTTTCTGGAGGTGGGCGGGCTTAGGTATAGTTCAGTAATAAGATCTTTGAAGCATCCTCCCGAAATTATACTAAATATATTTGCTTGTTTACCAAACTATATGCATATTGTGTTTCTTAGCCAACAAAAGAGTTATAATAAAGAGGAACTGGGGATGAGAATGACAGTCGAACCATACAAATCTCTACTTCTGGTGATCATTTTCAAAGGCATTTTGTAAAAACAGGACCACTGCCTGTAAGTATAGGCAAAGCTGTATTTTCATCCCATGATGGCCCCGCCATCTACTCACCATGCGTGCTTGAAATAATGCGGGGATGAAGGACTGGTTAGATAGGTTGAGAATCCTCGGGGAGTCCTTTAAGACGTAGATATTGCCAAAATCAACTTGAGTGGGATGTACATAGATAACTGGGCCTTCTCCAATGCTTTTTATGCGACATACCTGCGTTCGACGCAAGAGAAAGAACAGGAGAATAGCTAAAAATGGCTGGCCTTGGAGATTGTTTGAAACAGAAGCTTCTGGCCACCACTTTTATAAAGAGCAGGGGCATTAAAGGGTGCTTATGAGAACTGTCATTCCTTCTCTCTGTACTCTGTGGTCAGAGGGATACAGAGATGGCCATGCTGGTCAGACCCATGAATCCAGCCTGGAATTCCTCCCCAAAAAGGATGATTGGCTTGCCTGGTCAGCCCAAGCCACATACCGACAGGAAACAACAGGGCTATCCACGGCACAGAGCTGTGTAGGTTGGGGACTGAAATCCACCTTGTTCTGCTCTCCCCAGCCCTGTGCCTTCACCAAGGCATTGTGTCTGCCTGAGGAAGAGGGGCCTTCTTCTTTCATGAAGTGCTGTCTGCTCAGCAAGTGACCTTCTCATGGCAGGTGCCCACACCAGTGCCACCTTTCGAGTTGGCCTGCCTTTGTGATGCTGCTTTTTAAGTCAGGTGCCTTATCTATGGCACCATACATGAAGAGATAAAAGCAAAACCCTAGTTTACTCTGCAAACATTCAGAATCACTTCAAACAAACAGCACCAGTATTTTACTATTGCAGAATGAAAATGTAAACCAGAAGATAGCAAATACGGAGTACGCAAGAAGTACAGCAATTTTAACTGTAATTCTTGCCTTGTCAAGTTTTGCCATTCTAACTGGTGTAAAGTGGTATCTCAATGTGGTTTTGATTTGAACTACTGGGTATTTACCCCAAAGATACAGATGTAATGAAAAGAAGGGCCACATGCACCACAACAGCCAAAGTGTGGAAGGAGCCGAGATGCCCTTCAACAGACGAATGGATAAAGAAGATGCGGTCCATATATACAATGGATTATTAGCCATCAGAAAGGATGAATACCCACCATTTGCAACTGGAGGGGATTATACTAAGTGAAATAAGTCAATGGATTATTAGCCATCAGAAAGGATGAATACCCACCATTTGCAACTGGAGGGGATTATACTAAGTGAAATAAGTCAAGCAGAGAAAGTCAATTATCATATGGTTTCACTTATTTGTGGAACATAAGGAATAGCATGGAGGACATTAGGAAAAGGAAGGGAAAAATGAAGGGGGCGGAAATCAGAGAGGGAGACAAACCATGAGAGACTCTGGACTTCGGGAATCAAACTGAGAGTTACAGAAGGGAGGGGGGGGGAGATGGGTGGTGGGTATCAAGGAGGGCAAGTATTGCATGGAGCACTGGGTGTTATATGCAAACAATGAATCATGGAACACTACATCAAAAACTAATGAGGTACTGTATGCTAACATAAAATAATTAAAAAAAAATTTAACTGTAATTGTGAAAACTGGCTCTCACCATAGGGGGATCCGGGCTCCCAAAGGTCGAGATGTAAACTGTGGACCTATATTCCCCAGTGACCTGGGTCTCCAGGGCCAGAGGTATGTGAACGGTGCTGTGGGGAGGGATGACTCCACAGGGCATGGGACTGGAGAGTAACACGGCAGGTGTGTCTCCATATACCTGGTGGGAGAGAAAAGCCAGATGGATAAGCAAGCCCCTGGCAGGGTATGAATGAAATAGCATATTAAGTTATTTTGAAACAAGTGTCATTCTGAGTCCATGGAGGTTCTTTAAGAGTGTGTCACCATTCAGGCAAGTAAATGGGGATGAGCACCTCAATTCTGCTAAAGGGAAGAAGGGTGTGCATGAGGCCCCAATCCAAAGTGCACAACCCAGCAAGATGCTGAAATTATCCGCAATGTGAATTAGTCCATGGGCCGAATTCCTTGGCCTGGCCCTCCAGGTCTTCATGCTTCACCCCCTCCCCCCACCTCGTCCCTTTGTGCTTTGTCAACAGAGGCTCCTGGTATTTCCTGAGCACATGATACTGCTTCCTACCTCCAGCCCTCTGTACTTGTGTTACCCTTCCTGGAATGCCCCCTCCCTTCGACTGAGCTGAATCTATCCTGAACACCTGCAGGTATCCCCCATGCTCTAGACCCAGGGCTTTTCCTCTGTCCCCAGGGGCATCCTGTAGTCCTAGTCCACACTGTGTACTATGTATGTGTCCATCTGTTCCATGGACTGTCAACTTCCTAGGGCACGACCTGGGCCTCTCCTCAATACATGCCCATTTCCTGGCCCAAAACATATGCTCCGTACGTGTTTTTTTTAAACGGCAAAATAGGTAGGTGAATGAATGAATGAATGAATGTTAACCAGCGTTTATCACTGTATGTTCTTCAAAACCCTGCTCTGTAACATATTACAAGTTGTTTTTTTTTTTTAAGATTTATTTATTTTATTTGAGAGAGAGAGAAGGCAAGCAGGGGGAGGGGCAGAGGGAGAGGGAGAGAATCTCAAGCAGACTCCCTGCTGAGTGTGGAGCCCAACATTGGGCTCGATCCCAGGACCCTGAGATCACGACCTGAGCTGAAATCAAAAGTCAGCCACTTAACCAACTGAGCCACCCAGGCACCCCACTAGCTTTTATGAAAAACAGCAACAAATACAACTTTAAAAATCCCATGGCCAAACAAGTTTGGGTACTTCTGGGAAACCTCAGCTCCTGGAGAGAAAGAGCATACAGATTTCAGCTGTCCAGAGACCCCCACGGTCTTTACACTTGGGCTGGCCTAACAAGGCCTAATCTAACTCAGCATGCCAATGCAGCAGTTCTCTGCCAGCCTTACTCGTGCCCAAAGCCAAAGGGAAGATCAGCAATGCTGATTCTGTCTTTATCTAATATTTTGATATTTTGTTTTAATTTTGCATTGATTTGGATTTCTTAAAATGTGACATAAAAATATGGCTTATCTTGATGACTGAGTTTTTTGGCTCCCCCCTTAAATTCTGTGCTCAAAGCAAGCACCTCACTCTTCTCCCAGCCCAGCTGTGCAGAAAAAGCTCCCTCATCACCCCAGGGGCAGGCTCTGCTAGGAGTTCTCAAGATGATCAGGTGCCACTCCACGCTAGCCTGTTCCACTGTCGATCACCTAAAAGTTAGAAAAGTTGTCTCCCATCAACCCAACACTTGGCTTCTGGTTTTGTCTCAGAGAAGCCCATAGAATAATTCTAATTTCCCCTTTTACATAATGGCCCTTCAACTAGTAAAGGATGGCTATTTCATCCTAGCTAAGTCTTTTCTGTTCCTGATTAAACACTGTGCTTCTCATAGAACTTGGATTTCCAGATGATGTCGATTGCCATTCTGGTTACTCCACACATGACTTTTTTTATGTTTCCACTAAAAAATTATGATGTCAAGACCTGAAGATAAAATCTGGCACTGCCTTGACCAGTGGCCATCTCCTTCCTTTAGCTGACCCCTTTGTTCCCCTGATACAGCCTAATCTGCCTTGGTTCCATGGCCTCCATACTGGTCTTTGAACTCACTTTGAAACCTATAGTCAAATAAAAACCCCATTTGATTTGGGTTTTTTTGCATGAATTTTTACTAGAGTACTGTCCTTACAGAGCAATAGAGTTTTAAATCCAAATGCATTCTTGGTAAATTGCATCCCATTAGTAACCTTCCATTACTTTGATCTGTACAGATATTTTTGAATCTTTAATCCACATGTATTTAATTGCTTAGTGTCCCACTTGGCTAGGTGTAGGGGCATGAGGACAGATCCATTTCATAAAACATTAGGAGACAATTTCTTTTTTTCTTCTTTCTGTAGTATCTCTAGCTTTCTAGTTCAACGAGTCCACTTATAAATACTGCATTACCGTATCTTAGTGATGCTGTTCAAGTCACAGCCATGGCCATAAATGAAAACTCCTAGCTCTGCCTCATTTCCCATGAATGATTTATTCATAGGCAATTAATTGCAGGTGCAACTTCTGCATGTTGGCTTAATTGACCCTCTCCTTTCTTTATCAAAGGCAATTTCCCTGGGAAATTAATAACTGTTTACACCTGTAGCCGCTCAATCATGCAGGTGGCAATCCAGCTGCAGCTTTATGACCCCATGCCCAGATTATCCCAGGGTTGAAAATCAGAATAACAGAAGGTCATGTGTTGAGGAATATGGCTCTTTAGAAGGGTTTCTCTTTCTCATCAAGAAAATCCAACTGAAGGGGTGCCTGGGTGGCTCAGTTGGTTAGGCGACTGCCTTCGGCTCAGGTCATGATCCTGGGGTCCCGGGATCGAGTCCCGCATCGGGCTCCCTGCTCGGCAGGGAGTCTGCTTTGCCCTCTGACCCTATCCTCTCTCATGTGTTCTCTCTCATTCTCTCTCTCTCAAATAAATAAATAAAATCTTTAAAAAAAAAAAAAAGAAAATCCAACTGAAGAAAAATCAACACTGGAAAAGGATAACATAACTCACCTGAGGCAGGACTGTATAGCATCCTGGGAGGTCATCATGATTGACAAGCTGGACTGTTTTCTCATAGGGGTACTTCAGGAAGCAGTGCCCGAAGTCCACCTCTGGGTTAACCATGTGGAGGGTAGGTACAATACACCTGCTCAAAGGAAGGAGCCCATTAAAGAATTCAAAAGGATACAGAGCTTGTTTACATATGGAGAAGGCAGAGTCCCAAGTTAAACACCATTTGTCACTGTCACAAAGTTTTTCTCTAATGACTGTATTAATCATTTTCAAATCTCCTCTCCTGTCATTCCTATCCCTTAGCCCCCAGTCACCACTTTCTAATCAAAAAAAGGGCTGGAAGCAGGACTCCTTAAACAGCAGTCTTCCATGGGTAATGACTAACATTTCCACTGTTTTTCATATTTGGCCTTGTTTTGCCAAGGCGCCCCCACAGCGCAAGATCCTTAGGTTTCCAAGTCAAAGAGGGCCAATGCCGCCAGCATGGGGTCCTAACTAGCTGTGATGCTTTGGACCAGTCAGAGTCCCCCAAGGACTAGCTACAGTCTGTACCATCCTAAATTATGGTAATAATTCTAATTCCTATGCAGAACAGCTGTCTTGGATCAGTAGGCTCAGACAGCTGCTCGACCCGGAACTGGCACGGACCGTGGTGACAATACAGTGCCACGGTGAGGAGTCCTGGCATCTGAATCAAGAGCCAGGCTCAAATACTGACCTTAACAGGTACAAGCTGGAGCAAGTTGCTGTCCCTCCCAGAGTCCCATTTTGCTCAGAGGTAAAATGAAGGTAATTCTAGGGACTGACGGAAGCAAAATGAACTCTTCTCAGAGCGTTGTGGGAAATACAGGAGGTAATGTGAACGAACAGCATGGCACAGTGCCCACAGCACTGAGCAAGAGCCCCCTCAGCGAGAGCTGATTAACCTGTGCTAGAGGGCACAGCGAGCCGTCGCTGCCTGCTCTCTGCAAGTTCTAAAAGCGATTCTTTTGTTGAGCGTCTTCAAGCAGTTCCTACAGACTGCACCAAAAATAATGACATGAAAGAGAGTCTTGTTAACCCAAAGTTTGAGGTTTAGCATGGGATGGGTGTTCATTTTTAGCTAGAATGGAGGTGCCAGTTGACCTGATGACTTTCATAAGGCTAATCCTTTACTACCTGAATACTGTGGCTGATAGGACTTACAGTATTTGACTTGGGTCACAGAGAAAAATGGCAGGAAACGCAGAGCCGCTTAAGACACCCCCCTCTTTTTTTTTTAATTCAGGATCTCCTATTGATACCTGCTGGGAAAGGGGGCTGAGGTGGAGGGAGTATCAGAATAGACACACCCAGAAAGGAAAAGAAATGCAAGACTAGGCAAAAAGGTAAACCTGGGTATAGAAAGGACCAGATGAGAGCTTTTGCTGTATTTAAACAAACAAAATGATTAGTTAGGTCTTTGGAAGGAACACTAAGTAGACCATTGCAAGGCCTTGACCTTCAAGTCCTTTACGGTACATCTTCCACAATCTCCTAGGGATGGGATGGACATGTTATCAGGTTTTTACTAAGTAATTTCATGTAGATGATGGCATTTTCATACATACCACCTAAAGTCCCAGACCTGAACACCTGTTTGCTTTGGCAAAATTGTGGCCCATGATTTTATTTATTAGGATCACCGTCATCATCAGTGTCATGTTCCACCCTGGCAAAGACGGGAACGTGGTCAAGGAGACACAACTGACAGACGGCAGAGCCAGGATCTTCAGCTGGCCCCAGAGCTCACTGCTACCTCTATTAAAACACAGAGAAGGTGGGGATGGTTCTGAGGAGTTGATGTGGTTAGAGGGCCTCATTTGGGCGGCATTTAAGTCGTGGCAACAGTGTCCCGAGGCAGGATGTCTCGCTAAATGGATCTCCCACTGCAGGACTGTGAACACTGTGCTTTCTGGGCATAACCCTGAAGTACTATATTTAAAGATAAAAATAAAAACCAGCAACTGGTCACCTTTTCCTGGTAAAACCTTTTTAGTTATATACTGGGAAAGGCAGACCATTAGAAAGCACTATTATTCTTTTTTTTTTTTTTAAATATTTTTATTTATTTATTTGAGAGAGAGA